GCTAAACTAATCCAACTCTCGCGTAACCTACGGCGGCTAAGTCGAAATAGGCGTGTTAGATTTGGCTGGTGGTTTATTCGTAGGTAAGTACTAATCTTCTCTTTGTGCCTTTCCTTCAACCTCTTCTCGTACTAATCTAGTCTTCTCTTTGTCCACCTCAACCCGGGATTACTCTACGTCGAATAGGGGTTATTACGTTATGGTCTCGTCACGTGACTTACAGTGAACGATCAACTTGCAGTTTGGTGGTTTACGGGTTAACTTAGTGATAACAATAGGATTTAATAATAGTTTATTAGTTTATTATAGAGTTATATTTTATTATGGGTCGGATATATATTGTTATTAGGAGATTTATTGGTATAAGGGACTGTTTTCTCTCCCTTAGGCAGTAATGCCCTTTATTTATAATAAACGTCTTATTTACATTTGTAATCAATTTATGCCATGAATGCAATATATTCCTTATGCTCAATATATTAACTGAATGTAATAAAAGGCCGATATGTCATTTAACGTATATGTGGCCGAAGTAGCAAAAGTGACATAAGTAACATAAGTACCATAAGTAACATTTCTGTTACTTTTCGTGTGACCTTGGATCGGGTAAGGATCGTCACCTCGATTCGGGCACCCGTGACCCCCAAAAATAGGGCTCACAAGATTTCAAAGCTAAAAAAAAAAAAGTAATGCTGCAATTAAAAGGTATTTATTATTAGGGAATTACTATTTGCACCATGGATTTTTGCTATTCGCACCATGGTAACTAACATTATGAAAATCCACTTACCCTAACTCTAACTAATTCTGGTCATGATCTACATACCATGGTGCGAATAGCAAAAATCTATGGTGCGAATAGCAGTTCTCTAAATTTATTTTATTTTATTTTAGAGGTCCACGTGCCTTTTTAACACGACAGTTTACTGAATGTCGATCGAGATGGTGGATTGCGTTTAGGTGAAATGGAACGTGACTATTTGGTCGGTTATGGTGCTGGTACGTTACTTATGAAACGCTTAATGATATATTCGGACCAATTCGATGTTCATGTCATGAAAAGTGTGGTACAGGGGATGGTGTCAGCATTGCAAATTTGCAAGTGTATGGTAACAATGCAAATGCCTTATGCTGCAAAGTTACTTTTTCAAGAACTCCAAAGTATGAACATTGAACCAAGATTAATTTTTATGATATGCAATAAATAATAGTTTTATTAAAAATTAAAGAAATTCAAGTAGTTTTGTATTGTCTAGTTCAAAAATTAATAATTTATTATCTATTAATTAAAAATCGAGCTTATTGAATATATTTCTAAAATATACTCCCTTGACAAAAGTCACCTGCTTTCAATAATCACCAATTTGTTGATGACCGTAGCCACATATAAGCCATTATTTTTTTTTATATTCAAAGTTGTTTATTATGCCGATTTGCATGAAATGCGAGAATTATTTTTTAGCACTTTAGAAAAAAAAAATAAAGTAATTAAAATTTTTTATGTTGTATAACGACGCATTCTTGAACTCTAAAAAATTTTCGATGAAAATTTAATCCTATATACTTCCAAACTCGAACTTTATTGCGCTTTGCAAAAAAGTGTGACCCTCACAGATCATGAAATCAAGTAAAATCACGGAAATTTCCAAAATAGATAGAAATATTACTGATTGAATATATATTGATAGATTATTTAGAATCTCCAACATTTCCCACACGAAAATTGTGGGGTTATACTTTTTTGCAAAGAGCAATAATACAGCATTGTGGTTTGGACGGAATCTCATGTAAGATAAAGTTTTCAGGCTTCGGAATCGCGTGTTTCAGTAAAAATATCGCTATTATAAAGCTTCTAATCACAATCATATCTTTATCTCTAAAAAAAAGATGGCAGTTGATTATGCAATTAACTAATGAACTGCATAAGGTCATGGAATCTCAACAAGTTTCAATAAAGGGGAATTCAATGGATAAACTGCTCAGTTAACATTATTACAATTAATTGCAATTTTTATATAATAAAAAGTTTTGAAAAAAACCATTACAAAAAATATAGTAATCATATAATAAGCTTTTTTTAACTACGTCAAGATCAATTATATTTACTGATCCTGTCCGATAATGTCTGATATGGTATGGTTTATATATATCACACGGCTTTTTTATACTTTAAGAACTATATTTGACTTTATAGTGAAAAATCGCACGAAATTTTACTTTGTTTAATAAAGTAGTAATGTACTATTGTACGAATATGTACGACGTACGAAAATTGAGCAAAATCTACGGCTAACAGGTTTTTTTGTAAAATTAATTTATACAAGTTCATTATCCATCTGGCACAAGGATGTGACGAATACGAATCATTGGGCGTGGCTAATAAGCATTATTTAATATAATTATTTAGCTAGTGCTTACTCGCCACACCAATGATTCGTCACACCCTCATGCCAAATGAAAGAGGAAATCCAATCCGTTTACAAGTAATTCTTTTTTTAATGTTTAGGGTTAGGGCAAGTGCGAGCATTGTCTTTTTTCGTGTGAGGTTATAGGAAAATTAGCTTTGCTTTGGAAGTACGTCTATCATGATTACGTCTATCATGATTTCATGGCAATTGACTAAATGATATTTTGCCAAATTTAGAACTAATATAAAAACTATTCTAATTTTAAGTTCAATTTACTTTATCGATACATATTGTAAGGCATAAATATAAAAAAGTACTCGTTATATTACAGTAGAAAAACCGGTGTTTTTTATATGGTAATTCAATGAACATACAAAATCACTCAATTAAATTTCTATTAATAGTGTGATGTTAAACCCTTACTATTCTATGCTATCTATCGAATGAACTTAAGAAGGAGATTTTTTTTTATATATTTTTATACTGCAAGATAATCACTTTATATATTCGTTTCTTAGAATTCATAACTTCGGCAATTTGATTCTTGTCGAATCAGATCTTTCAGGTATCCATGTTGGGATATCCAATTTCATATTAAATCTGTCAGACATCTGTGGCGGGATTTTATTTACTTAGGGAAACAATATAAACCGCGCTGATGATTGTTTATTAAAGTGATTGTACAATTTAAATTAATATTTAAGCAATTACATAAATATTCTGAGCGGTTACCTTTTTTAAAAAAAAATGTCTCCAAGAAATCCACGACAAAAAGAAACAAAAAATACAACTAACTTCTTGGCTCCGAAAAAATATGGGCGAGTAACTAGAAAAGATAGAAGAAAAGCAAGGCTCTTTAATAGACACGTCATAGTTAAAAAAATCAAAGATCAAATTAGACGTCTCTCTAGAGAAATCCGTGACATACCAAGAGAAGATGGATCTATTACAACTAACTCCTTGGTTCCGAAAAAATATGGGCGAGTAACTAGAAAAGATAGAAGAAAAGCAAGGCTCTTTAATAGACACGTCATAGTTAAAAAAATCAAAGATCAAATTAGACGTCTCTCTAGAGAAATCCGTGACATACCAAGAGAAGATGAATCTATTACCAGTCATATTAAATGGTTTAATAGGTTGAAAGAATTTGCTGAGACTTCGAGTGCTGATAATGTTTCGTTATTTGAAAATATTTATTCAGATTTCAAAACAAAAAAAAAAGAAAGTGATGTTGCAATTAAAAGGTATTTATTTCTATTATATATATATATATATGTTATTTAACTTTATTAATATTTCTTTAATTTCTTCTAGCTTACATCAAAAAACTGACCGACTTCGAAGAGAACTTAATGAAGCTTACAAGTATCTTGAACAATTTAGAAAAAAAATTAAAGAGATTAAGGATAATTTCAATCGATATTATGGTCTCACTCAACAAAAAATGTTTCCTGAATACCTTTCACAAATTAATTATTTACAAAATAGAGTTAGTCAATTAGAATCTCTGTTAGGTATTGGTACAAGTAGTTTTAGTTTAGACACGAATAATGAGAGTTCGATGATGAAATGATCATCTTACTAGAAAAAGAAAACCATTTTTTTTTAGATGTCAATACTAGATATCAAATTAGGTTTGATGATAATAGCAATTCTAATATTGAAAGCTGATTTTTCTTATAATTATTATTGATGTTTATCTTTAATAGTAATGAAATTTTCTTTACTCAAGTAACATGTTAATAAATTCAGAATTCTGAAATTAAAACACTAGTCATTTAATAGCTAAATATAATGAAAAAAAAATATTATTTATTTGAAAATTTTTTAATAATTAGAATAAAATAATTAATACTATTCATTATTTTTGGATTTAAATATTAAATGTGATAAGATTATAACAAGTTCACATTACTACTAGAGATGTATAAAGAAATGCAAAGTAAAGAAAATTCTTCAGGTAGATCCATGAATAAAGCCTATGAAGAAGCTATAATGTATCAAAAATTCTAAATGTCTATAACATGCTTCTGGCAAGAAGCATCCAAAGCACAGTTAAATCAGAATCACTATATAATACATCTAGTACAGGAAATATAGCGACACAGCTACATGTGATTTTGTGCACAGCAAAATTACTATTAAACTAATCGACACAGTATGGCCAGCCTATAGTTAGGCCTAAACCGAAACTTTCGACCAGGCGAAACTACTGAAACCTCTAAAACCCAAGGTTTCAAGTCTGAAATTGGGTGACACATTCAAAACTGTACGAAATGTCCGAAACTGTTAAACATCCACAACTGGGTGAAACGCCTGAAACTGTGCGAAATGATCAAAACTAGTCAAAACTTTAAATGGCTTATTCATTAGTAATTATCACATCTTTTTAATAGGTTATTTATTGTCCTATTTGATAAATAGCATAATAAAAGATGTTATAATACTAATGAATATACACATTTAACAACACTGATCTAATATTTCTATCAAAATTAAGCATATACTTACAGTGAGCAGTAGGATGATGTCAGAAGCTCATTTGAGCAGGTGATCAGTGTGGCGCAATAACGAATTAATGACATCATTATATGCCATATTCACTGAATACTCTGTATATAATGGATATCAGTTTAAAAAGGGGAATTAATGGGATATAGTGTATAATTATATCAGTATAAACATTATAATCAGTATAATTGATATAGACATTATAATTAGTATATATGGGATTAGAGTTGTTAATGGGTTGGGTTGGGTAGGGTTAAGCAACTCCTCAACCCACTTCAGCTTGGGTTGGGCTCACTCTGGAGCCACTCCAGGCTTGCTTAGAGCTGCTTCAGTTCACTTTAGATTTTTAGGCATATCTTTAACCAACTCCTACTTGGGTTAGGCTCACTCTGGAGTGGCTCCGGAGTATGCCACTCCATTAACAACCCTATACGGGATAATGAATATAAGTGCTACATCACGAATAGAGTGTATAACATGCATTATATAAAAGAAAGTATATAATAAAGACTTCGAGCCCTATGAAAAAACATTCGTTGTTCGTGATCCATATAAAAGTTGTCCTCTAATAATAATATCTTGCTTTCACTATAATAATGCAAACACCATAAACTATCCAGTCACCAAATATAACACGCTCTTTCGACTAAGCCAACTTGTAGGTATCTGATTGAGAGCAACTGACTCGCCATTCGATGTTGTCAATACACAAATAAGCAATGCAGTGTTTAAATTTACTGCATTAAATTTTTAATAATTTAATAAAAATTTATTTATGACAAGTGTATGGTTAAATTTGAGTTTGGTATTAATGTACAAAATCTTGAAAATTGTAATATGATGATTTTTATATGATTTATACTATAGACAAAATTTTATAAAGAAACTATTTATAAGGTAGCTGTGCAATGTTGTTTTTTTTTTTTTTTTTTTCAGTATTAAGGTGACCTCTTTGGTCCGAGCTTTTTATTAATACTTATATCGGGTACATGTTTT